TATATTTAATAACGGTTAGATTGTCTAAGACTCGTTACTTAGCTGCAAATGTACATTTACTTCTTTCATAAATAGCTATATAATCTTCAACTACGTTTTGCCAATAAAAATGATATGTAACCACATGATGTCTTCAGTATCTAAAAAGTTATTTTTCTTTAGACAAATAATAAAATATTAAAACAGTTACTAGATATTAACTAAAAAATAGGTTAAATTGACTTTTTTCGTTAACGTATATCTTTCATTATATAATACATAGTAAATTATATTTACTAATTCAATTATTAAATAAAACTTTTATTTAATAAATCATTTAAAAAATCATAAGTGCCTGAATGTACAGCGTATTCGATAGTGTACCATGAACGTATCACGTACATCATTTCTCGTGGTAGATAGAGTAAATTAAACTAATTATAAGTGAAAGAGTTTCATTCTGCAAATTTGCAATAAATAACAAAAAAATTAATTAATAATCATTGTCGAATAAGCATACGTATTTGTCCGGTCTACCGCCAAATGCACGTATGATTATTCGGCGTAAGTAGCAAGTTTTCTGGAATGCCATATACACGGGTGCGTGTGTGCATATGTGTGTGCTTGTATAAGAAAAGAAAGGAGAGGGAGAAGAAGAGAGAAAGACAGTAAAAACAAGTTACATATAAAAGTAAAACAGATTCCATTAAATATTAAAGAAGTAAGAATATCATTATAGAGAATTCTAAATAATCTTACGCTGCAAAAGGTAACCATTGTTAATGGAAAAATCTTTCCTGCAGTGAAACGGAAAGGATATCTGGTTCGCATTATTAACAAAATAAGACTTCTCGCCTTTCTTGGTTCCAACTTGTACCATTCCAGATCGCAAATTAAGCGATGTACTGTATTGGACTTAAAGAATATAAGGAAACATATTAGTGTTTATGCCATTTTGATGATATGTATTTCCAGAAATACACTTACGAAAAGAATTAACACAATATTTATTCTAAAAATAGGGAAATTTCAAGATGGAACAACTTCGTGAAAGATCATTGCATCAAGATGTTTAAAAAAAAATAAATTACAGCTTGTAATTTCTACTTTTTAGGTCGATGCTTTAAAAAATGATGTTACAAATATTTTAATGACACGGAAGATAAATAAAGATGCATCAAATTTCAAAATTTGTGAAATCTTACGGTGTAAATTAAAAATTTCACACAAATGCGGTTTAAAGCATTCGAAAGAATGAATCTTTAGCTTTAAATTACTTTTTTAATAGATTCCGTATGATTTATTTCATCAAGTCATTTAACATCAATGATGTTGTGATAATTTTGTTGGCAAGTGTATTTATTAGCAGTTAATTGTGATTTAATTAATATGTTTTTTATTTTTTCAATACAAATGAGTGAAGTAATTAATACTCTGTGCAAGTCTCTTGGTGCTTAATAACACAATATGCTATATGAATTTTTATATTTAATTTTTTTATGATAATTCAAATAAATTGCACACAGATTATTCGGGGGTTCCGAAAAGTTTAAACTGAAACTGCTATGGAGTACGTACTAACACTAATTATAAATTGATATCCTATTAAATATTACTAACGGAAATAATCTTTAGAAGAGAGTAAAAAATTTAAGTTCTTTTATTGGAAACTGTAAATTAAAATTCACACAATATATTATGAAATAAACCCGACTTGACTAAACATTCCTGGCAGACTTAACACATTTGTATACAACATTTCTTGATCCAATTTATTTGATATTGCTTTTATCGTATGTTCAAAAAAATTAGGAACGTAAATGTTATACAATATGAGGGAATTTGTATTCTTGTTAATTTTTATTAAAAAATTATTTGGACTGTGAGAGCTTTTAAACTAAATTCCGATGAGAATAAGCCATTTATGGTTAAGCTGGATCTTAGATGCTTCTAGTATAATTATGTGTGAATTTATATATCTACTACGTATGTAGATCCTTAAGGGTTAGTCCACCCTGAAACTTTAAAAAAATCGAAAAATTTTCTATTGCTTAAATTGATAGTTTGTGATCTTTGCATTGTAAGTCTAAAAAAAATTTCGGCGCGCATTTAAGGATCTACATACGTAGTCAATACACGCGTAATTATATTAGAAGCATCCGAGATCTAGCTTGACCGTAAATGTCTTAATCTCATCGGTATTTAGTTTAAAAAATTATTGTTTAATATATAATACACAAATGTTTAACAATGTAAATTTTTGATATTTTTTTCTATTATTATATTATGATAATAAATAGGAATGTAACAAATGAAATGTTGTTAGCTATTATATTTAGCATTAACTTAGAAAATATAACTAATATAAAATATTTGCTTTAGAGATACAGAACAATGAATTTAAACAATATGAACAAGAAGAAGAAATCCTATAACGGTTAAAGCTAGATCACAGTGCTTATTGTAATTATGTGTGAATTTTATATACTGCGTATATAGTTCCTCCATAAATTGCGACGCTGCGTTAAATTTCAGCATTGACGCATTTACTACCGCAATAATATCACGAATTTAATTGATTAACAATTTTTGATGCTCATAGCATCATGGATTTTAATAGTGTTTTGTATCGTATACATCTGTTGTATATATCTGTTGTACGATCTGAGGGCTGCTGCCCACCACGTTTTTCCACGGTACGAGTGCTTCGCGGTACGTGGCTGAGAAATGGATTTTCTCTTCTCTTTAGAAATGAATTAACGAGGCAATTAATTGCTTTAGGAAACACTTTAATGCGGAGATTATACAGAGTTGTCACTAGTAGGCAAATAATGACTTGAGCCTTTTACAAAATACGTCGTGGTACGTTCTTATCCAACGACTTGATTAATAGGTAATGCCGGATCGAACAAGACGATCGATGATGATACGCGAGCGCCCCGATAGCAGCGCCTGAGCGGGTAGGAATTACAAAATATTAGGTATATAACTTGAAACTCGCCCCCTTTTTTTTTTTGCCAAAATTAAGCCTTTATTTAAAAAATAAGTAAAAAGAATTTATCAATCAAAGTATTGGCCATCGTTAGATATGACTGTTTTCCATCTTTCTGGTAATAAGCGGATCCCACGGCGAAAGAACGACTCATCTTTAGAGGCTATCCAGTTAGATACCCATTTTTCGATGCTTTCATAAGAGTTGAAGTGTTCCTCTGCAAGTGCGTGTACCATTGACCGAAACAGGTGGTAGTCGGAAGGGGCACAGTCTGGTGAATAAGCCGTATGAGGTAGCACTTCCCAGCGAAGTGCTTCTAACGTTTCCTTAACGAGTTTTGTGACGCGAGGTCGAGCGTTGTCGTGAAGCAAGATCACTTTATGCCGTCTTGTTTCATATTCTGGTCGTTTTTCGCGCAATGCTCGGCTCAAATGGATTATTTGTTGTTGGTAGAAATCTCCTGTGACTGTTTGACCAGATTTCAACAGCTCATGGTACACTACACCCTTCTGGTCCCACCAAATACAGAGCATAGCCTTCTTCCCATGAATATTCCGTTTTGGCGTCGATGTTGATGGTTGGCCTGGATGGATCGCAAATGGTTTTTCGGCGTTTGGGGTTATCGAAATAAATCCACTTTTCATCGCCAGTCACAATTCGATGCAAAAACCCCTTTCTTTTTTGCCTGGCAAGCAGCATTTCGGAAATGGTTTTTCGCCTTTCGATGTCTCTCTCTTTCAATTCATATGGTACCCATCTTCCTTCCTTATATACCTTTCCCATGGCTTTTAAACGCTTGGAAATAGCTGTTTAAGTAACATTCAACGTTTCTGCAAGTTGATTTTGTGTTTGACATGGATCTTCATCCACCATTGCTTGCAGTTCTGTATCGATGACGTGCTTTATCATTCGTGTCAAAATCACCAAGTTTGAATCGTCGAAACCATTCCTTGCAAGTTGTTTCCAATAGAGCAAGTTCCTTATAAGCTTCAACAAGCATTCGATGAGATTTAGCAGCAGTTTTCTTCAAATTGAAACAGAAAAGCAAAGCTTTGCGCAAATGATGCTTTTTTGGTTGAAATTCAGACATCTTCTTCGCAGTGAACAACTATGTTGTTGTCACAAACACAAACTTTTATATACTGAATATTATTGACAAAGGTCCAAACTGTAAAGTAAATGATGCCTTTGTTCAGCCATTACAGTTGACGATTATCAAAGCTACAGCTATTTATAGCTAGAGGGCGGGTTTCAAGTTATATAAGGTACCTAATATCTAGCGTCGCAGATGCGAGATCCGCGGACAATGAGAACGCGCGAATACGAATATCCAACGTGTTTTGAATGACAATTTAAAATCTAAAGATGATAAATTGAAACGCCTTATTTAAATTCTGTAAATAATTAAATCTTTAATTCTTATATTAACGAAGAATATCACATAAATTTTTTGGCTTTTCGTCCCGGCTTACACTACTGGACTCATCAGTAAGGCATTGTAGTGGAAGCCTACCTTAGACACCTTAGTAAGTTATTAAGTCGAGATTCTATATAAAGAGATATATGCGTGTCTCAACACTTGCGAGAATTTTGCGAATATCGATAGACCTCTGATGGTCGACGTTATAGAATGTCTTCTTCTTGTTTGTGTTTATCACATGTACGGTCGTAAAAAGATTTTAATCTTTGTTGAACAATATATATCATCTGTATATATTATAACTTACTTATTATTGTAAGTATGACTTACTTGATCCATTACAAGCTCTCCCATTTCACAATAGAGAAAAGTATTCGTTAAGAAGGAAATAAGAATCAGTATCGAGTAACATCCTTGCGCGATAACGGCTTTCTTCAGTTTTCTGTCAGCTAACAACTGAAATATATAAATTATAAGAAGGTAAAGATGTGTACGCCCCTAGTAGATTAATATATTTTTTCGCGTTTATTTTACTAAATCTTACAATAGTAAATGAAAACCCACTTAGGCAAAATACAATACAAAATTGTAAAATCAATATCAACACCATTACAGAGTATGTACTTTCGACATAGTTGGCAAGTCTGCAAGAATAAGAATATTTGAAAGAATTATCATATTAAACTGATAAAATGCTATAAATGTTACAAAATATACAGGAAATTTATTCTGCACGTGGCGCGTGATTTGTAATACTGGGAATGTGTAAATTGATTTATTAAAATATTATGTACGAAGTTCGAATCGGAAAAGCACTTCCTTTCTTAGTTGTGGTTTTTACATATCTACTGTTCATTGTTTCCACTTTAAAAAAATTGCAACATTTTTTGAAACAATTTCATTTTATCCTTAACGAAAAAGTAACGAATTGTTATTCTTTAAATGACGGTAATGGTAATGCGTTACTTTTTTGAGTCGGTAACAAGTAATCAGTTATTTTTAAAAAGTAAGCAGTAATTTTCCGTTTTTCTAAAGTATATATACCAAAGATAAAATATGTATGTATATCACTGTCCTATACATTACAAATTACATTATAAATTAATAAAAATATTTTTGAAAGACTAACATTTTAACTACATACATATATGTGACAAGGAATAAAACATAATAAAGATACAATAGAGATCACAGAAATGGAAAGTAAATAAAAAAGTATCAAAAATGAATATCTCTGCTGTAAAATGTAATATTTAACAAATTTTAAGATAATATACATACATATATTCAATAATGCATCTAAATCAATTTTGTTAGACGTCCTTTATTATCACAATAAAAATTTATACCTGATAAGACGTAAATGGGTCCTCACAATGTTGTTTAAAACTTTATTGAAATCATTGTATAAAATCAAATTAACCATACGACAGCTAAGATTTTCTAACTGGCCACAAATGTGAAAAACTATCAGTACTAGAAAAATATCTATAGACATATAAATGATAGCCGACAACAATAGTGTCACAGTCTGAAGAAAATATGTCAATTCAAATTGCGGACTCTTATTTGAATCGTAAAAATGATACGTTTCAAACAGTAATGACTTATGCCTATTCGTAGAATTCGATACGAATGTTACTTCAATGCTAAAACAAGAAAGAATAATTATTGTGAGAACCGCTGTTGTTATCGTACTATATCCAATCAATGTAATTAATCGCGCTGTTCGTGCTCGTTTTATCATCACATCTCTTTCTCCGTCCAGTTTGAATGCTATCCAATCTTCTGCCATCATATTTATAATTGACAAGAGAACTTAAACATATAAATATATACATTTATATAATGTAAGTATTGTCATAGGTGCTAAAATGTTGAATTATTCAGATGTATATGGTATTATTTATATTTTATAAACTACTATAAGAGAGAGAGATGGGAATTATACACATTTTATATTTTATTCTCACATATGTTGCCATATATATAGGCATAAATTATATACATATAATTTCTTGTTACCGTTATTATTGACAATACATATGCATTTATAAATTAGTGTTCGAAATACCCGGGTATTTGGGCACCCGCCCGCCCGTCAGTCATTTGTTGCACGCGGGTGAAAACCGATTTCGCGAGTACCAATGTCATATAGATGCTCACTTCATATATTTTATATATGTATGTACCTAGATTGCATTTATAAATTTATCGATTTAATTAAATGGTATAGTAATGGAAACATAGTTACAAATTACGGGTACCATGATGTCATGGGTACCCATATGATTCGGGTACTTGCGGAATCAGTTTTTATCCATGTGTAACAAATGACTGACGGGCGGGCGGATGTCAATCTTCAACGTTACCCGGTTCTTTTTCTGAGCACTATTATGAATATCTCTTATGCATAACATGAATTAACACACAAACAAGAGAATATAATACTAAATATATATTTTATGTTACATTATTTTGGACATACGTGTTCGTTTCCGTAGTAAGATAACGTATTTCACTGATACAATGATCTGAGGTAATGCTGTCTGTAAATTGTTTATTACAAATACCATATTGCCCCAAACTCGTATAACTGCACATATTAGTGGAATATTAGAAACAAATATTAATAAAATAAAAACGATGCCGACCCAAATTTCTAGCCAGAAACTTTTCTTAGTACATTTGTTGGATTTGGGCCACAGACCCACTGTTTCTAATCCTAAACGATGTAGATTAACTGCCCATATGAAATCTGATAATTTAAACAATATATAGGTAAGCGATTTGAATAAAATAATTGCAAATTAATATATAAATTTTTAAACAATTATACTGAAATTGACACTAAGGCAATATCATAAGAATAGATTTTTTTGCCGCAGATGTCAGAAAAAAAATTAAAGCATTCGCCTGGGATAATTTGCATGAAATTACCTTGTTATAGTCTATGTTTTCATGTTAAATTAGTATTGTATTATTATTTCAGATTTCTACAATTAATATTAATAAAACCACGGTTACAGTTATATCGATTTGTCAACGTATTATGTAATTATGATATAGTAAGTTATGCATTTTATATATATATATATATATATAATCACATAAAAGAAATATTATAGATATTAGAAGAGTAAGAATATGCAAAGAATTTTACAAGTTGAGTACATGCAGTTTCACTCTGCGGCGTCTATTGAAAGACGCATGACTATGAAAGGAAATCGAATAAAAAGCTAGAGAATCGCGGAGCATTCACTCATTTAGGGAAAGCTAGAGATAGCACGTATTAGTACAAGAAATATAATATTTAAAATTAATTAATTTTGAATTATTTTTTACATTTATTTTTTGTCATTACGTTGCTTATTCGTGTTTTACTAATCGTAATATTGTCTATATCTATTATATTTCACACATAATAATAAGCTGTTTGATGTATTATCAAGTTAGTATGCTGTTATTAATCATGTACATGCAATTTCATTCCAACGATAAAGAGAATGCCAAAAGCTTAATAATTATTTAATAATACATAAGCATAGAAAAATGGAAAGGAATAAAGTATAGCAAAATATAAGGGCTTAACTCTTTTAGGGTAAATTTTCCATTAACTGGACATGTATCGCATATACCTACAAAAATGGACTTTGGTGGCTGGAGATAAAAAACTTGCAGTGTCTTTCAGTTTTTGAACATGGCCGGAGACACTACCGCGTCTCCTGACGTTCAAGTATTTACGGAAAACTTTAGTTTTTATATTGTTAGTAATCTCAAATGTTTTTAAAATGTAATACTATAATTATATGAATAATAATAATTTTGCTACATTATTATGTTGATAAATTGATTCAAACGAGTTTTATTAATATTAGTAGTAAAAAACTGAAATTATAACATAATAGTTATACATATACCATATGTATCTAGATGTATAAGAGAGTGATTGTGTGCAAATTAGTCAAAATATAATTATTTACCTCTATAGAATATGCGGCAAATTTGCAACGGTGTAAATAAATTATTTTTAATATGCAAAATAATTTTTTCGGATTTTTAATATTTTTTTAATAATAGTAAAAAGTGTAAAATTGTTAAAATTGTTACTGATAAAATTTTTGTTTTAAACACATTAAATAATCTTCGATAGATTACGATAGGTAAGATTTTGATACGTGCGATGTCTATATACCAAAGTTAAACTATATAATAAACGGAAAATACTTAACACAAAATATTAGTACCTTTATATCCTGAAGATTTTGTAATGTCCATGTGGGAAATTAGATCATAAAAAATGTCTCGTTCTTTCGATGGTATGACGTAAAATGATCATTAAATATGCTCTTCATATAAATGTAGAAACTCAACTGCTCTGTAAAACGTAGCATTTAAATATTAAGAATGCTATTACCAATTACAGCTACTGATATCGTAAAAAAAAATTTATAAACGTTCGAGATATAAAAATCGTTTATATGGTGTAATAAAATAAGAGATGAAAATGTTGCACGTCATTATAAGTTCGCCGATACTCACTTGGAAAGTTAAATTCCATGTTTATATCGCTTCATTATACATACCCATTTTTCGATGCTTTCATAAGAGTTGAAGTGTTCCTCTGCAAGTGCGTGTACCATTGACCGAAACAGGTGGTAGTCGGAAGGGGCACAGTCTGGTGAATAAGCCGTATGAGGTAGCACTTCCCAGCGAAGTGCTTCTAACGTTTCCTTAACGAGTTTTGTGACGCGAGGTCGAGCGTTGTCGTGAAGCAAGATCACTTTATGCCGTCTTGTTTCATATTCTGGTCGTTTTTCGCGCAATGCTCGGCTCAAATGGATTATTTGTTGTTGGTAGAAATCTCCTGTGACTGTTTGACCAGATTTCAACAGCTCATGGTACACTACACCCTTCTGGTCCCACCAAATACAGAGC